TCCCCCCCCCCCCCCACACACACACACACACACACACTGGAATAGAAGCTCTATGAGGCAGGAATTTTTGTCTGATTTTTTCAGTGTTTATACATTCATACTTCCTCTATGCTTAGAACAGCACCTGCCACCTAACAGGTTGTCAAATAACAATAATAATAATGATGAAAATAAAAATGGCCAACATATATAGAGCATGAAGCATGTATTGTGTGCCAGGGGCCATTCTGAATATTTTACACGTGCTGATGTATTTAATCTTCACAACAATCTCAAGAGCTAGGTACCACTATTACAAACAGCAATTTGATGAATGAACGATGAAGTACTCACGGCTCTGGAGTATAGAGGGGGTCTGAACTGTGTCTCACATACTGGGTGCAGTGAAAAACTCGGAAGGCTAAACCTGATAAGAAATCCCTTGAAGATAAGTAACCGGCCACAGGACGGATGGAAAAACCCGTGCGCTCTGCAAAGCAAGGGCAAAAACACAGAGATCTTCACCGGAACAGACCACATGCTGCAGCATCTTAACTCTGCCAGTGGCACCAAGTGACGCACCGAGAGAAGACGTGAGAACTAAAATGTAGCCTATGTGTACTAGGGGGAAGTAATAATTATTACACCTTTTGCATATCACGCCTCCTTTCGTGTTTACAGTATGAGTTAACATTTCTTCCCCTCATTGTAACAACTAGAAAACTGAGGCTCAGAGACTCAGTCATGTGCCCAAGGCCACACAGCGGGTGGTAAAGGTAGGATGAGAGCCCAGGTCTTCCTATTCTACACGTTGCTGTCCCCCTGAGGAGCTTCGAATATCCCCCAGACAGAATCTATTAATTTAGGTCAGAACCATTTTCGAATCTACGCCATTTTTTAACCAGTACTACCTCTTATAAAGTAGGTGCAATATTTTATCGATATTGGATGGCGGTCTTCCATTCCCCCAGCAGCCAAGGCTGTGTGGCCCCTGGAAAAGTGCCTGCCACTAGGCCGCAGTGGCCCAGGGGCCTCGACGGGCTCCGATTTCGCCCTTCAACCCAGCCCCTCACGCTCTAGTATTCCACTTGCACCCGGCTGCTTTGTACTTGGGTTCTCCCACTTGGAAGGGCAGACTTCATGGCCCAACCGAACTTCCCACAATGATGGAAAAGTTCCGTATGTGACGGCTGAACACTTTAAATGTGGCTAGTGTGACTGGGGAACTAACATTTCACTGTAAATCTCTTTTAATTATTTTAACAATCACATGTACCTATTGGCTACCATATTTGACAGGGCGGGTAGCCTCTTACAACCGATGTTTTGTTTGAAATGTCTTTTAATTTTGGTTTCTCTCGTTGACACTTTCCCTTGAAACACCTCAAGCTCCAGACCCCCAGTGAACAGCTTTCAGTTTTGTGTCCATGACAACATATTTCTTCCAAATCTCATACAAATCTGATTGATAGTAACTTCTGTAGCATATGCTTGTCTATATCTGTAATCCCATGAGATCATGTGCATGTGTCATCCGTAATCACTTCTTTTTTTTTTAATCTAGCTTTTGTAGGAACCCCTTACATGAGTTCCTCCCTTGTAAAAAGAGTGTTGTTCATTCCTGTCCACTTCTTCTCTCGGGTATGATAGTAGAGTAATGAGAATTGTGGAGTTGAATATGCAGATTTTTATAACAATCTTTGCTAAAAATTCAAAGATAGTAATTTCAGATGGAAATAAACTAAACTAAACATAATTTCTCTTTTTCCCCCTAAGTTTCTAACCTACTGAGATCAAAGGGGATACTTCTTTTTCTTACATCCTGGAGACCCTAGATCATTTTATTTCCTACACTGGCTGGAAGAAATAAGGAGGCCTGGTCCAAACAAGAATGAAGATCTAAAAGGGACACAACGGTCCTGACCCTCTCTTTATGCCTCTACGAGTACAGCCTCTCCCGCGGGAAAATGATGGCAGGTTAATGTGGAAGGGGCTTCAGACCACCTACTCCCACCTTCCCCGAGGAGCTTGAATGTCCCCCCTTCCCCGAGGAGCTTGAATGTCCCCCCTTCCCCGAGGAGCTTGAATGTCCCCCACCGCATCCCTGGCAAGTGGGTGTGGGGCTCCTGCATCAGCACCGCAGATGGGGAACTAACCACCTCCTGAGCCTGTTCCGTTTCCATTTCGAGCCAAAAGCTTGTAGTTTCTACTCACAGTCCTTTACTTTAGTCATCCCTCTATTATGCAGGATGACCTTGAAATCTTTAAATAAAGCTATAATATCCCTTAAACCCCCAGGTTAAACGCCTTAAGAATCCTTCAGATTTTATTTATATGATGCATTTTCCAGTCCCCTTATAATTCTGCTCACCCTCTTCTACATCAGTTCGGTTATGATTATCCCTCTTCACATGTGGAGCCCAATACAGGGTCCAATACTCCAGGACAGAGAACAGGAAAATTCTCATCTCCCACATCACTGGACGTTATTTCTCTATTAAAAATCCTCTTGTGATCCACGCAGAGCTCAACATTCCCGACAAAAAGTTAATGAGTTTATTACCTTTTAAAAAGTTCGAAACATCTTCCAATTGCGGGATGTTATCTTCCCGATAGCCACAATATTTAGAAAGCAAAGGTAAGTTTCTGAGGTATTCTCTGCAGGCGTGCGTCGGGTAGAGCTTGTTGAGCTCTCGGAACACGGTGCCCCAGGTCTTCGTCTCCTCTGCGGTGAATTCAGCCCTGGGAATGGGGTCCCCGCTAGCGACACGGAGGAAAGAGGTTACTTCGAATCAGCATTCAGGAGACAGTAGCACTTATTCTCTACTTACTAAATGAGCGCGATTTCCTCTCTGCCGATTTTACCATTTCCCAGTTGGACAAGTGGTTTTTACACTGCACTTACTGTCTGTAGTTCAGAGCCAAGTCCGCGAAATACTTCCGTCGTTTACGGTAGACACTGTCTTTGAAGCCCTGATAATTAGAGAAAAGGTGTTAAACATTCGTATTAAAATAACCTTGGCAAGTGATATTTGGGAAACATTTTTATATTCAAGAGCTACATAATTGTTATTTTGAGCAAGCTTGTTTAGAAGTTTATGATCATTTTTAATTTAAAGTCAATGTTACATGACAGCTTTATACTATAGTGGCTACAAAGATAAAAGATACTATAGATACAGCTCTGGCTGGTGCGGCTCAGTAGTTTGAATGTCATCCTTCACACCAAAGGGTTGCGGGTTCGATTCCGAACAGGGCACATATCCAGGTTTCGGGTTTGATTCCCCGTTGAGGAGTGTACAGGAGGCAACCAATTGATGTTTCTCTCTCACATCGATGTTTTTCTCTCTCTTCCTTTCTCTCTCTTTAGAATCAATGGAAAAAAACATATCCTCCAGTGAGGATTTAAAAAAATACTATAGATACAAAAATACTTTAGTGCTATAAAAATATAACAGTTTGAATAATAAAAGCACCATCCTAGTTAAATATAAGCTCTTTCTCAAGGGTAAAATTTTTTTTTTCTTAATCACATAACTGGTCTCTCCAGCTAGAAATGTTTGTTCTCTTATGTATATCTTAAAGCAATTTGTTCATGCTACCTAGCACACTTTCCACATTTGAATCTCATATGTTTATTTGTACGTGTGCTTTATCTTTTCCACTGGCCTGTAAGCTCCATGGCAGGTATAGCAGTTATAAATTTCAACAGTTACTCAATAAGATACTATAGAATAAATGGGTGGACAGGCCAGGGGCTCTTGAAGGCTATATAAATCCTAATACTCTCAATTTATTAATTCTCCAGCTCATGCCTGTATTCTTTCGCATGTAATTTCCCAAGGAAACAACTTCCTAGTTCACCAACTGTCTAATAATCCAATTATGCTGGGCAGCATGGGTGATAAGTCTTTTTCCATCCTTTCTTTACTCCCCTTTCCAATAACCCACACCCATTTTAATCAAAACTGACTGCAGATAGAGTCTTTATTTTAGTATAACTCTTAAAATAACTCTTAATACTAGAAATGTCAAGCATTAAACAGATGCTTTGGAACCAAAAAAGTAGGATGCTCTTCAGGCAGTAGGTCTCGATTTCACCAACACAGGGTCTACTAAACCTCCTGAAATCCCAACTAAAACAAGATCCTGTTTAGTCTGAAATAAGCACTTTCTCCCAAAATAAAAGATTGCCCTTAATTTTTAGTTTACTTTGAATTATTTTCATGAAAGTATTTATTAAAAACACTTACAGGATGGTCTGCATCCAGTTCAGATCCATACATCAGAACTCTGTTGGCACAATGGTCCAGGTCAGAAATCTTCTTTGGAAACCAAGGAACTGTTTCCATACCTGCAAAACACAAAAAAAACACAAACAGCTGAAGAGACCATCTTAAGCAAGGCAATAAGGAAGAAGGTATTAAGAAAGTCATAAATGCATTTAGATGAGTTCTATTTTAGCTGGTACATTGAGGCAGAATTTACACAAGTAAATTTCTCTATTTCTAATAAGTAAATATTCAGCGTTTTTAGCTTAAAATTTATAAGTCTTGATTTCCTAAGTGTTGGAGAAATACTATACTTTGCCAATAGACCAAAACTTCTGCATGTGCTGTTCTTCTGCCTAAAACACCTACCCCCTCCCACCTCCTGTTCTACCCCATCCTTCAGTTTTCCTGAGAATATCCTTCACCTACCTCAAGGCCCAAATCAAAGGAGCCTTCCCTGACTCTGTAAGTGGAGCTAACTCTCTGTCGTCTGGGTTCCTGTGACACTATGTTTCTAATTTTCTGAAAGCTTTCTTTCTGTTTCAGTATAATGTATCTGTAACGTGTCTGTCTTACAGGAAAAAATGTGAGGAACTCTAGGGTAGGGACTTTATATTTTTGAATCCTCGCTTCTTAGTAGAAATATCTGACACATGTTGGTATTCCCTAAATATCAACGGAACTATTTAATCTCTATAAAACTCTTAATTTTATAGAGAAGGTAATCAAAGTCCAGAAAGGTAATTTACCAAAGTAGCTCCTCCCTCCCTGATAAAGGAGAGAGGATAAGAACTCGGCCCTTCTTTCTTTAGTCAAATGCTCTTTCCTACATACCCAGCCGTGATATTCAAGAGATTAAACCACAAATACAATAGCGACACCAATCACATTGCTCCAAATAGACACAAGCAGAGTCCTAGGCTCCTGCTCTGCCAGGCAGGGGACTTTTAGGGGAGAACCTGGAGCACACAGGTGGGAAGCACTCCAAGGACTCAGGGAAGCAGCTACCTGACAGCCAAAAATGAAAGTATACCAATATTTTAACAATTTACACAGCCATACAAACACATAACATGGTTATCAGTCCTGATCACACCCCAAATATTGTGACATAATCTGAAGGGGTTAGTTTAAAATTGAGTAGCATATACAAAACGTGGCCAAATTACCTATTTGTCTTTTGCCCCAAGTAAAAGACAGGATTTTTTCACAATAGAAGATCTTAGCCTGTATCTTTGCTGAGTATGTGAACCCTTAAAAGACCTTACTGCTTTTTATTTGCTTTCGGTGGAGGTGGGGACAAAATAGTCATGGGGATGTAAAGTACAGCACAAGGAATATAGTCAGTAATATTGCGATAACTATGTATGGTGCCAGGTGGGTCCTGGAAATGTCGGGGGTGGGGGGCACTTTGTAGAGTATATGATTGTCTAACCACTGTGCTGTACACCTGGAACTAATACAAAATAATATTGTCAACTGTAATTGAAAAGTAAAATTTGTAAAAAGAAAATAAGTTAATAAAAAGCACACAATTTAAAACATCTTCTGAGCAGCATTTTTACTTTTCAAACTTACCATCCTCCTTCATGGTAAAATGATCAGGTGAGTTCACAGAGAGGACATTAGTATGAGACTTCAACAGAAGAAAAATGTCATTCAATTGTTCTCTGTTGATATCACCATCAACAAAAATCTCAAATTCTGGGTTTCTTCTCTTTGATTTTCAGGACTCGATGTGTAACAGGTGCATGTGCTTCTCCTGTGTAAAGCAGAGGGCGAAGCTTAAGTGACGCTTCAAATGGTGACTGTCTCTGAGCAGATGACTTTCACTGCCACTGAAAATCAATCTCATACTTGTCATAATAGCCAAAGGGAGAAAAGGCTGTTTCTATTGATGCCAATGGCAAAATAATCCCCCCTAAATATTAAGTACTATTCAAAAAAGTTTGAAAAAGTTGTCCCATCCTCCTGAAACTAATAAAATAATACCCATTAGAAGTCCTCAGATTGCCAGAATTAAGTGGCCTTCAAATGAAAATACCAAGTCCCCTAGATAAAAAGAAACTTTTGAAAATTGTCACCAATAAGAGTCAGTTTTCAAAAAGTCATGCTAATGTTACTCCTTTAGAAAAGTTTCCTTTGCAAAAATGCATCCAATAAAATTAGATGAACAGGTTGAACAGAGAGTTTCTAATACCTCAAATCTCCTAAGCCACAAGCTCAGTAACCAGCTAAACCAAATTGCTGCTTCTGGTCTCTTCATGACAGTCTAAGCTGTTGGTGCCATATGTTAAAGCCATGGGAGGAAGAGATCTTCTCTTACCAATTTGGGTAGCTGAGGAAAAGCACTGGTGACCTAATAATTAAACATAAGAGCCAGTCACCCAAAAATTTTTCATCTAAAAAATGAGAAGGTTGGAGTAGATGATCTCCAATACTAACCACTTCAATCTAAATTAACTTAGTGAACATCTCTGTAGCCAGGTAAGGGCTGTGAAGCATACAATGAAGGGTAAGACGCACAAGGAATTTATAATCTAATTGTCTAACCACCAAAAGAACAATTAAGAGGTTGCCTCTGGGGAGTGGGACTGAGGATATAATGTGTTGGGTTGAAAACAAAATATTTTTCAAACTCTTCTAGACTATGTCTATATTTAATTTTTTTAATTCTCCAAAATATTATTTCAAATGGCTACATAATCATATGTCCTATGGATATAAACTTTTTTTTTTTTAACTCCTCACCCGAAGATATTTTTCCATTCTTTTCAGAGAGAGTGGAAGGGTAGAGAGAGAGAGAGAGAGAAAAGTCGACGTGAGAGAGATACATTGAGTGGTGCCCTGACCGGTGCCGGGGATTGAGCCTGCAACTGAGGTACATGCACTTGACTGAAATCGAACCCAGGACCCTTCAGTCCTTGGTCCCATGCTCTAACCACTGGGCCAGACTGGCTAGGGCTATCCTTCATTTTTAAAATAGCTAACATTTACTGATAAGGTACTTTGAACCATCTTAAGCACTTATATATATTCACTCTATTAATTCTCACAATGATCCTATAAGGTAGGAAAGGTTCTTGTTTTATAGATGTAAAGACAAACGCAGAGACTAATTTGTCCATGATCACCCAGCTAATAAGTGACAAAGCAAGGATTTGAACTCAGGCAGTCTACCGCCACAACCTACAAGCTTAACCCCAAAGATGTTCTAGTAGCATCATTTAACCTGTCCCCTACCTTAGGACAAGTAATTTGTTTATAATATTTAGTTCCTATAAATAAATCTTTGTGTCCCTACGCCCTTAAAACTAAAGTAGGTCCCCCAGTTCAATGCTATCATAGTACCTGGTACTTCTCTTTCAGGTCACTTTACACACACGTAACCATTTATACCCTATGATTATTTGTTCAGTGTCCGTGTTCCCCACTAGATTACACACACTGTGTCTACTTTGTTCAGATCCATGTCCTTAGTATCTAGCAGGGCACCTGGCACATAGTAAGTACTCAATAAACACTCATGGTCTGCCTCACTGACCCCTGTTTCTGTAAGACAGACTGATGGAAGTGGAATTACTGGGTCAAAAAATGTGCACATTATGGGTGGTGGGGGCTGAGTGGAGATGGGCGTAGGGGGATATGTAGTAGTGTCAACAATTTAAAGAAGAGAAATGCAAAAAAATAAACAAGTACATAAATAATAAAATGAATAGAAAAGAAAATGTGAACATTTTAAGGCTCATAATATATACTACCAGGTTGTTTCCTTACACATTACACTGATTTACCCTCACACCAAAGGTGTATTTAAGTGCCAAATGCATTGAAGCTTTGAAGATAGGGAACCGTATAATTGTAAAAATCTTTGCTATTTTGCCATATAAAAATATCATTAACTATATTATTAATACATCATTAAATAATATCATTAAAATTTTAATATTTTTAAATGAAAGTAAAATTAAAATTTGTTTCTCCAAAATCTATGAAGTAAGCCTTTCTTCCCCCATTTCTTTAGCTATTTATATCATCTCTTCTGTAAACTGTTTTTATCCCTTGCCCATTTGTTAGAACTGAGCAATAACTTAGAAATTTAAGTGCTTAAGAAATTTCTGGTCCGGCCAGTGTTGACTCAGTGGCTGAGCATTGACCTATGGACCAGGCGGACACAGTTGGATCCCCGGTCAGGACACATGCCCGGGTTGTGGGCTCGATTCCCGGTGGGGGGCATGCCGATCGATGATTCTCTCTCATCATTGATGTTTCTATCTCTCTCTCCCTCTCTCTCTCTGAAATCAATTAAAACATGTTTTTTTTTAAAAAATAAATTTCTGTAGTATAACTCTGAAGAATTTACAATATTCTATATTTTAAATGTAATTTTAAAGGCTCATTTTAGAGAGTTCTATGCAGAAATAAGGAGAGAGCTTACCTAGAAGGTTTTCAGTGCTTTTATAAGTCCTCCAACTTCATTCTTTAAGGAAAACATGAGAGTTGCTCTCCTCTTTCTAAAAAATGGTCTTTGTTTTCCTTATTGTCTTCGATCATGATGAACTTGGTGTACTTCTCTAAAAATAAAGTATGAAAATGTAGGGAAAGGTCTAAAAAACATGCAATGTAAACATGGTCCCCACACTCAGGGAATCGAAAATCTGGTAGAGAGGATGACAGTGCAGGAAGATATTGTAACAGGGAACACAAATGGCACAATGATGGCAGTGAACAGATTTTTGGGGTACAGGTTCAGAGATGTTTCACTGAAGATGTGTTTGAATTGGATCTTAAAGAAAAAAGCAGAGCCTGGCCATGTGGCTGAGCAGTTGAGCGTCGACCTATGAACCAGGGACCACGTGGGATTCCAGGTCAGGGCCCGTGCCCGGGTTGTGGGCTCGATCCCCAGCAGGGGGCGCGCAGGAGGCAGCCGATCAAGGACTCTCTCATCATTGATGTTTCTACCTCTCTCTCCCTCTCCCTTCCTCTCTCTGAAATCAATGAAAGCAGATTTTTAAAAAAGAAAACGAGGGAAAGGAGTAGATAAAGAAGTTAAAGAAAAAGATGAAGACACAACCAACCAAGAGAGAGCAGTGAGGAGTCATGTAGGCAGCTGAGTGGGCCAGATCCTTTAAGAGGCTCCGGGCAGGCAGCGCAGGGCAGTGTGGGCTTGGTCTTCTATGCCCACCCAAGTACCCCTTGAAGGACGCTGGCCCACGTAATTGAAGGCTAAATGAGAAAGGTAAGGACAAGGTCGTTTTCTTAAGCTCAAGTCCTGGCTTTTGAATCATCCTTTCTACAGGATGATTCAAAATGAGGGGCTTTATGCACGTCTGTCTTTCTGATTTAAGAGTGCTTGTGAGTTTTCTCTTTCTTCCGTAAAGCTCTTTTCTTAACCCGTACTGTATAACATTTGGGGGCCCCTTATAAAAGGTGGCCCAAAGAGACCCATCTGGCTTGAGAGAGGGTACAAAGTACCAAATACGGCTTTCAACTGTATGGTCATAAACAATCATCTGCTACTAAACACCGGCCAGGCAGAATTGCCCATTTCTTAACCTAAACTTAAGTATACATGGGAAATTCTGAATTTGTGCCCTGAGGCTAAAAATTCAGGGGTGGTCTCAGATATGCATTCTCAGAATGTTTTTAGAGCTGTGAAAACCTTTGGAAACATTTCTTGTCCAACTATCACTCAAAGACCATGCCCTCTCCCCCCCCCCCAGTATGGGTGACTGTCCTACAGCATGCAAACAATAAGAGAGATGTCAAATAATAGAGCAAATTGCTAGTAATAAATCTATCTACAAATGCGTCTAGGCAAGCTCTAATTTCTATGTGTATTAATTTCCTTATTTGAAAAATTGAAAGGATAATTAGCACAAATGTAAAGATAATAAAAAAGATTAAATATTTATAAAATATATGAAACCCTTAGAGCAATTGCTCACCTACACTAAGTACTCACTATTAGCTCTAAGCGGGGAGCACTCAGACTTTCAACGTGGGGACTGACCGCTACTGACTGCGCCACTGCCCCGTCTCCTGCTGGCCCTTAGCTTGAGCGAGGGCCCCCTGGCCTGGTGACACTGTGCCCGTTTCTCGGATCCTCCTTTCCCCTTTGCTGGTCCTCGTCCGCCTTCTTGCACATGAAGTGATTCGGAGTTTCGGGGTTCTGGATTACTGTTTTTATGAACCCCTGCTTGTGGTTGGTGGGTATTTAATCCGAGGCCTCAGAGTCCTTCAGTGTCTGGGAGTGTTCTGTGTGTGGACATATTCTGCTCGTAAGTTTATAAATACACATAGACTGAGGGTGTCCACGTCTCCTCGCTGCACCTTAGGGGTCCTCTGGCACCATGTCCTGTGTGCATTATAAATTCTCTTCTAAACTCAACTATGATACCATCCCCTTTGACGGGCTCCACGTCTCCCTCTGCGACCTAAAGCAGCAGATTATGGGGAGAGAGAAGCTGAAAGCTGCCGACTGTGGCCTGCAGATCACCAACCCACAGACCAAGGAAGAATATACTGATGATCCTGCTCTCATTCCTAAGGGTTCATCTGTAACTGTTAGAAGAATTCCTATCGGAGGTGTTCAATCTACAAGCAAGACATGTAAGTCGAACTGAACCAGTGATGGGAACTTCAAAAGCCGTATGTAAAAACACAATCTCACACTTTTTCTACACCTTGCTTTTACCTTTATAATGTAGCAGTGAAGTAAATCATTTTAGAACTTCATATCCAACTGATCATAGTACATATTATAAATAAAATGTATTTTGATGACAAAAAAAAATATTTGCTCTAATAACAGGAAGTGTAAATCCCAAATTTCCCAGTCTTAAAAAAGAGAGGAAATGTTTAATGTAATGAAATTGACATTTTAAACAACTCTGGCTAAGACTTTTTCTTACCCTTAGTATATTTCTTACAGCAGCAAGCACATGGAAAGGTTGTTTTATAAAATGTAAGTATTCTTTGGGCATTTACCTCCCGGAGAGTAATCTTACCTTCGACTCCCGCCGGCCCAGCGGCCCCAAATCCGAGACGGGATCCCGGGTCCCGACGGGATGGGCCGCCCGCTCACCTGCGGCGCCGCCAGCGGTGAACCGGGTAGGCCGGCGGCGGGAGCGGCCCGCCTTTTATAGAAGCCGGCGTCGGCGAGGGCCAATGGGCGCTCGAGGCAGCCGGGCAGTGGCCAATGAGAAGGAGGGAGCCCGCCGGCCGGGGTTGGGGGGGGCGTGGGCAGGGCCGCACGCCGCAGCCTCCAGGTGTCTGACAGGTGTGACCATTACGCCGCCAGGCCGCCCCGAGCTGCAGAAGCCTGACTCATATCTGGAGTTGGAAATTCCCCCCAAACCAAGGGGACACCTATTACCAGCATAGTGACCTCCTGCAGACTTGTCCTGCTTCTCCCGGTTGGTGACCTTCAAAGCAGGAGCACGCACACCCCTTTTTCTTCCCTCTGTGCTTCTAGGTTATTTGATAGTCCGGACCTGGCTCCCCATTCTTTTGGTGGCTTCCCTTGTTCCTTGAGGCAGAGCAATCCTTGAACTTTTAAGCAGGGAAGTGCTCAGTATCCTTCCAATTAAAGACATTTTAAAGCTGTGAGCAGACGTGCATGCTGTATTAGCTGAAAATCATGTTACATACTATAGGAACAACATCATCCCACTGTCATTAATTTAACAAATACTTATTGAGAAACTATTATGCTCCAGGCACTGGGATAACAATAGGGATTTTGCAGGAAAAAACCAGACATAATTATTTCCCTGTGAGAGAGATAAGTAAACAACTAGTCACACAAATAACTATATAATAACAATTGCTACAAGTAAAGTAAAAGGCCAGGGTGTGTGAAAGGGGCAAGTGGGCGCCTAATTCAGACTAGGGGAGAGCTTTACTTCAGGGAAGGAAGTGACCCTGAAGCGAAAACCTGAAGGATGGGAAAAGTGAATCCGGTGAAGAGGCAGGGCTGGGGCGTGTGGCGGGAGAGCTTCAGGCCTAAGCATGCGGGAAGGTCCTGAGTGGGAAGGAGCTTCGATGAGGGGACTAGAACAGCAGTGGGTGGGATGTGGCAAAAAACAGGAGAGTCGAAGGTAACAGGACAGAGAGGTGTGCAGTGGTCAGAAAACTCCTTTGCCAGAGATTCCACAGATCAAGATGATAAAACAAAGGTAAGGAGAAAGGCCATTTTCCATGTGAGTACCACCCAAATCTTCTCATTTTGCTACAAAGGTGTCCATGTTCTAATCTCTGGAACCTGTGAATATGTTATCTTAGTGGCACTTTACAGATATGGTTAAGGATTTTGAGATGGGGAGATTACCCTGGATTATTGGTAGGCACAAAGTAATCACACGGGCTCTTCCATGGGATAGAAGAAGCAGGAGAGTCACATGACCCAATTTGAGCCAATGATAATCAGGCCCAAGACTTGGCTACAATTTAGAAGAGGGTTTTTCTCTTATCTTTAACCTTGGAGGAGAGAAGCCTGCAGCTAATGGAAGTCAGCCAGCAGAGAAGGCTTACTGAGAGTGATGCCAACATGGAGAAGAGCACTATTGAAAGATCAAGTAGGACTTAATGACATTGAACATCTGGAACCAGCCATACCTGAAGCTTGAGCCCTTTTTTATTAAACCAAAGGATTCTGATTCATAAGTTACTGTTTCTTCTATGCCATGAATTCATTCTTTATTTTCTTGAAGTAAAGCCTTGAATAATTATTTTCAGAAAGATTGTATGGGTATTTTACTTTCAAAATACTAATGAACAATAAAGTGCTCCAATTCCAGAACCTTGCTGTCTTTGTCATTTCATGTGTCTCCTTGGCAAAATAGCAAGTAAAACTAATACAGCGTTTCTAATGATGGCAGTTCAATGTTCATGTAATACAGATGTAGGGAAAAAAGCATTTTGAGGAAAGAAAATGGCTTCATAGTCAGAAAATTTTCAGTTCAAATTCCAACTCTTTCACTTATCTGTGAGATCATGACAAATTTAATCTCTCTGAACCTTTCTTCATCCAGAAAACCGAGATGATATTATTGCCCCTATGAGACTGTGGTCAGTTCCCTAGATCAGGTCCTAGCATACAGGAAGCACTCAGTAATTTTAAGTTTCCTTCCTCTTTCCTTTCCTTATGGCTCTTCAATAAAGTAAAATATCACCACAGACAGGAACATTTATTTTAATACATTTTAACCCCAAATCCTTATATAAATATCTCATCAAATTTGAAAAGTAATACTAGCATTCATGACAATTATTTTTAAAAAGTTGTAGTCCCGTCCTGGCTGTTTTTGCTCAGTGGTTAGAGCATCCATGGGCTCTTGGACAGAAGGGTCGTGGGTGCAATTCCCAGTCAAGGGCATGTACCTTGGTTGCAGGTTCAATCCCCGGCCTCCATCAGGGCCCAAGCAGGAGGCAACCAATCTGTCTCTCTCACTTGGATGTTTCTCTCTCTCTCTCTCTCTGTCCCTCTCCCTCTCCCTCTCTTTCTCTCTCTCTCCCCCCTCCCTTCCTCCCTCCCTTCTCCCTCCCTTTCA